TTAACTGTGATAATGGCATTTTTAAATAAATGTTGTATTATGAAAACAAAATCAATGAAAAAAGTTTTTAAAAATTAACAAAATGTTAAAACAAAAAACATTAAAATTAACATTTTTGAGAGGCTTTGTAACATTTGTAAGAAAGACTAAAATAAATCAGATTTAATAATTACTTTAAATCAAGTAAAATTAAAAATGTTATATTACAGTATGTGGTAAAAATTCAGTAAAATTATTAACTTATTAGAAATACAGACTATGCAAAAAAAAAAAAATCATTAGTGATTTGCTTTTATAAATAAAAATTTCAGAGAATATTAAATGAACTCCAAAGATCAAGATTTTTACATTAATTTCTTTAGCGAATGTCACATGAAAAGTTTGTTTTTACAATGAAAACAAAATAATATAGCAAGTCCAAAGGAAATAAAACTAAATCTTATACTTCAATTAAACAAGCTAAATGTTATTCCAAATGTAAAAAAGGTAAATTCCTTAAGCCAACTACAGCCTCAAACTACCACAAACCCAAACCATCTTACCTCCAGTGGAAATACAAGATTTGAAATAGGCTTCCAGTTCTGGCTCATATGAGCTGATACAAAATAAAGAACATCATGGATGAAACTGGCTGTAGATATTTGTACTATTGAATTTATTGAAAGATTAAATAACTATTCTTTCACACCTGATGGAACGTAAAAGTTCATCAATTAAAAAAATTTGACATGATATATATATATATATATATTAGTCCCTTCAGGACACAGACAATCATGCCTCTCCCCACATTCTGTTTCTTTTATTATGTGAATGGGAAATATAGTGGAGTGGTTTCCTGTTGTCTTCTCTATGGATTTGAATTCAGTTTTCCTTCTAGGCTGGCTGCCACCTAAAGCTAGAAAAGCCAGTCTTGCTATTTAACTCATGTCCATAGACCTGAAAAAACAGATTCCTAATCACCTGTCAACATTACCACAGGGATAAACAATATCACATCTCTTCCTCTATGGAAGATGATCAAAAGTCTTGAATGAGAAAAAAAATAACTAGAAATTGTTTTGATCCTTTCTAGATGAAATACACAAAACATACATTTCTATGTAATATATTTGTTAAATATAATAATTATTGCAACTGTAGGTTTTTATCTTACCGATTTCAGGCAGATTTATTTTGTTAAAAGCTCTTAACTTACCTGATAAAAATAAATCTGTTGAGAATATCAGTTTTGAAAAATTCCATTTAGGACAATTCTCTGCAGGATATCTGAAGGAAGTCTCAAACAGCAAGTTTAATTTCCATTTCTTGCAATCAAGGTTTATTTCTATTTAGTATATTGGTTTCAAATGAAAACACACCAACTTACACTCTTAGGAGATTGGTGTTTTGCAATTACAATTATGCATGGCTTTGCATCAGATTTATCTTCCCACTGTCTCTACAAATCTATAACATAACATTGTACATTAAAAATTCATGATAAAATAGCCTAATAATTTCTGACTAGCTTTGACCCCAAAGTGTATGCTTCTTTATCAACTGTAAATAAAACACACAAAGTGGACACTAAAATTCTTGTTCCAAGACATTTCCTAAAATCTAACCAAACTAGCACACATCCCATTTCAGCAGAGGAATCATTCTGTGGTCAGACTCAGAACTTTTCACCTTATATATGAAACATGAAAGTTTACTGACAGAAGGAAGGGAACTCAGTGCTCATTTATATTATTTACATTATTCAGACTATCATCCTCATCTTTGTTGCCATATTTATCAATGTTTCGGACGTTGTATGCTCCGGCCTTCTTCAGGTGGTTGGAATGTCGAACTTAACCCTTTATTTCGCTCAATGGGGTAAACTGTTCTAGTTCCAGTCATCGGTTATCTCCTGTTAATTTCCCTCTGAAAGTTCTCCACTGCCTTACCCGGGTATTGAACTCACACTCTTTGGGTCCTGTCGCTGGATCTAACCAACACTTATCCGCTGTGCCATGTGTCCTCAATCCTCATTAAACTGGTTTTCTTTCTTCAGCATTCTCTTTGGGGTTTTTTTTCTTTCTGCATCATCATGTAAAAGAAGACCAACAAAACAACAACCCACAAACAAAGGCTGTGTAACTATTCTCATTCTACAGTAGCATTAGAACTAAGTCATGAGCATAGCAGGTATCAAATAAGACTTTTTTTAAATTGTGGTGCTCAGTTAGGAAGAATTATTTCATTGAATTTTCTTTTTCTTTGGTATTTTAAATATTTTATTTCAACTTAAAAATGAATGTAATAAAAGAAACAAAAACACTCAAATTTGGATTCATTCAAAAGGCCACACATAATAATTGCCTTAGAAGGCTGCAGGTTCCCTACCCCCAGGGTTAGGCCCAAATTTAGTTATTAAGCAGAGTTCATTCCACTCAATTTGTACAGCATGTCATTTAATCAATGTTTTTTTTTGTATTAATTCTCTAGCTTTTAAGACTGTCAAGACTATGTTAAATGTTAAATAATTGCATTGATCAGAACCTCAACTTCCACAAATGCAGACATTTTGCAAAATATCAACATTTAGCACATTTTGACTACTTTAAAATGATCCATTTCTGAAATAAACAAAATATATTTAAGTAATTTCTGTAAGCCTTTAATTAAACATCATAAAAGAGAAAAACACCCATTGAGCTGTGGTATTCAATGGAATTTTTAAAAATCACCATAATCAGAATTTCAGCAGATGGTTTCTTGGAAATGTACAACTAATGATGCAGAAATAGGTTTTCTAGTTGTTCCCGAAGTCTAGCCAAGTCGATTCTTTATGATCCTCATAAAAGCTTGTATATATTTTTGTCTAATTTCTTTGTTTCCTACATGTTGGAATTTTGTCAATCGAAAAGCAATTGTGATTCTGGTGTATACCAACATATATACCACTATTCCATCTTGTCCAGTTGCTTAATTGCCTAATGAATTACATTAATACTAGCTGATGGTATGTTTAGGAGCAATGTACTTAGTATATCCTTTTTTGCAGCAAATAGTCTGGAATAAAAATTTTGTACAAATCATTTTCTTTTTTCTACTTTAAAAAGCAGTTTCAACACTGAGAGAAGAATTTGCAAAACAGATTTGCATAATAAACAAGATTCTATATTATTTTGCTAATCTCATTCCATTTGCCTTCTTTTCTCAAATGATCCATAAATATGCAATTCATTTCTAGTATATTTGCATGCATTCAGCATATTTAATTAAAAAAAAAAAAAATTCCCAAATAACTGCAGACATCATCAGTACCTGTGTATTGGATATCCCATTATTAAAAGAAAGAGCAAATGGAATATAAGATTGATTTCTTCATCAGAATATAGATGGGTTTTCTATTTACAAAGAATCTTACTCCAACATTTGCCCAAACTCCTTCACCATTTCCAAGGATAACTGTTTCTCCACTCTCAAATTGTGTATGCTCAGTAACAGGAGTGACATTACCATCTTTTTTTTTCTTTTCTTTTTTCACCTTGTTTCAAATGAAATTTATTTGGTGCAAAAAGTGTTGTTAGCTGGTATGATGTAATACATTATGAGATGATACAAATGCACCATATAGTTTTATGGATTATGCATGAGGAAAAAAAAAAAAAAAAAAAAAAAAAAGGTAATTAAAAAAAAAAAAAAAAATTTCTTTCTAGTTAAGTTTATATACATGGCATTTTGAATCAAGATATTGAGTAAATATGACAATCACCATATTCTGCATATTTAATTAGTTTGTCATCAGGCACGTGCTTGAAATGATGTAAAGACAAGAGTGGTATCTCATATGCTGCATTCACAAAATAGATGCAAGTAATGGAAAACTACATGAACACAGCCTCCTCTAACTTCTGAACTAGACATGGCTATCCACTTTGTAAGGCTTATTTTATATTGCAGTGTAGAAGGAAGTTTTATTCCAAACTATACATTTTGCAATATTAATCTAGATTTGATAAAACATTAATTTATCATTTAAGCAATGTATTAATTCTAAAGTAAAATGTGAATAATTTTACTGTAACAGTCAAAAATTAAAATAAGACTTAAATATTTAAAATGTTCAACTTTTAATTAACTAAAATTAGTTAAATTACCTAAAACAACATTAAGCAAATAACTTATGAATCCAACAAAATATTGACAGTGAATTTTATTCTAAAAATGTACTCTATAAATGTATCAAGACATTATTTGGAGGGACAATTTAAACAGGAACATGGGGATATGAAAGAGCTACATGAGAGATCATACATTTCAAATGAAGTTATACTACCCTAAAATTTGAAGCCAATAATGTGCACAAGCACTAAAGTTAGCAAAATAAAATAGTATAAAAATTTAGTCTATCAGCTATTCTTGAAAATCCAAGGAAAGTTAACATCTGTCAATAATAAAAATTAATTCAGAGTACAATAATAGAATTTCTTCAGTGACTTGCTTTGTGGTATAAAAAGTTACTTCTGATCCGATTTCTTAGTTTGATAAAATGCTCAGTGACTAAAACCCAACAAAGACTTTCAAGTTTTAAATGCTTTTTAGCACCCTGCTTTGAATAATTTTACTTAAAAAAAAAGAAAAAAAAAACAAAAAAAAACAAACAAACCTTTTTCAATAAACAATCTATGTAAATTGTGCATTGGATTAATAAATTACTGTAAAATCTCTTAAGTTTTAAATGATTCTCTGTTTATCAATATTGAAAAGAGAAAAAAAAAACATTGTAAAGACAATGCTAATAAAGAATACGTTTATGGTTTTTATTAATTTTAGTGTGAAAAGATTAGAGCAAATGACAAAAAACAACTTACGTTGAAGCTGAAATGATTGACCAGATGTGGTCAAAATATAAACAATGCAGACTGACACAAGTGATAATGTTTTTGAAAATCTGATTTGCAAAAACACAAGAAAAGAAAAAAAAAAAAAAGACGGACCCACTTAATAGCTGGAGTTGACAGATCCTCTCAACAACAGTCATCATGAGGGTCACGTTCTTTTGGTTCAGGGTTTAATTTAATCATGTCATCAATTCTAAGAATTGTAATAGCAGCCTCAGTCGCAAATTTCAAAGCTTTAATCTTGGACACTGCTGGTTCTAGTACACCAGCTTTCTTGTTGTCACGCACGGTGCCTTCATGGAGATCCAAACCAATCCTGAAAAACAACACGCATCTTAATATATTTCTTTCCTATTACTGTAATTGTATCAATGTATGAACTTATTTCACATATACTGGGTGTGTGTAATTAAATATAGAGAGGAGAGGGAAGAGGAAGGGAAGACACTAATTTAACAAGAGAGAAAATATTTACTGTGTTCATCCATAATGTAGCATTTTTCAGTTTATTAATTGAGAGTCAAAAAATAATAATAATAATAATAATAATAATAATAATAATACAGCATGCTTAAAAACTGAAATCTTATGTCCTATAAAAAAAAAAGTTGTTTTTTTTATGTGTAATATTTAAATAGCAGTTTGAGATTTTCATGAAATTTTAAAACCATGATTTTAAATGTATTAATGTGGGCTGTATTATTAGGAAAGCCACAGTTGGCATTCAGGTATGCGAAAAAGAAAATGAATTTCTAGGTGCAAGATATTTCTATTTCATTCAGTCCTTCTATACAAAATAAATTGTAAAGTCAAACCTTACCATTTAAGATCTAAATGTTCTGGTTTTGTTTGAGCCATGTTATGATATGCACGCAACTTTGCTACTAATTCTGTAGAGTCTTGTGCAGCATTCACTGCCAACTGTTTGGGAATCACAAGCAGAGAATGAGCAAATTCAGCAATAGCCAATTGTTCGCGGGAACCCTTTGAAAATAAAGGAAAAAAAAAAAAAATCATTCATTATTAAGCAGCACTTTCAAATTACTGATTAATATAAAATGTTTTTTTTTTAGTACAGATGCCTTAAATTTGATACTTAAGAAAAAAATATTAATGCACTAGCCAAAGAAAATCAAAATTTAAGCTGTTAGAATTTTATTATAAATCAAAATTAGATGTTATTCTATTCCTATGTTACACTTTCTGATGCACTATTTTAAAAAGTACCAATTTTTCCATTATGATTTTTCTCAGATGTTTGAAAATGGTAGTAAGTTTTTGTAAACAAATTGTTTAATATTTAAAAAACCTTGATCAAAAATAAAATGAAGTTTTGACTTTCCTTTAACATTTTGCCCATGAATTTCCTGTAACAACTTTTTTTTTTTTCACTCAGAGAAGACAAACGCTAAAATGAGTACACATTTTGAACATGATCAATTTTCAGTTTATTTATTTCAACTTCAGTTTACTTTATAATTTTTATTTTATTAATTTAATAATAAACTACAATGTTAATACTTTTATAACAACACAAAAGCTATGACATGGAACTGTAAAAACCATGCACAAATAATAATTGGAAGAACAAAAACAAAAATCAATTTACAATATTAGACTTAATGAAGTAAAATTTAATTAAATATAAAATACTGGCATTTATAATAGCTTATGGTAAGAGAAATTTTATTGGATTTAAAATAAAAATGTAATCAATAGATTTTTGCTATGAATCTAAGAAAAAAAATTCTATTGTTTCTAATCTATATAATACTAAAACTCTAATCTTGTATGTATCTATGTGTTCCCAAGAGAGTTTAAACTATACATAATACCACAACTTATTTAAGAGCATATTGTACCATGGACCTCTGCTGAATACAGTGCCAAATTCCATTAAAATTAGACAAAGGGTTCTTTAGCTAGGGTTGTTTTTTTTAGGTTTTATGGCATTTTTAATAGAAAACTCAGTATTTGTTTTCAATATATTAATCTGTGTATATGAACAAACACATGCATGTTGTATTTCAACTATTATGTGTGAAAAATAATAAACATGTATAATATATTAAATAAATATGCACAAGAACATATTTATACAATTCACTACACTTTATTAGAACTTTTTTTTTTTTATAAACAAATGTTTGGATAGGTGAAGAGGTTATGCCAGTGGAAAACTGAATCAGTATGACTGGAAAATTGTATCGCATGACACAGAGAAGGAGGGGGAGGGGTGAAAATTTTAAATTACAATTGTTAATTTTTTCTTATGTACCTGAAAGAATAATTATTGTATAACAGCAGAAAGAAAAACTATATAAACAGTTCTCATTTCTTAGCAGTAGTTTTCCTGTATCCCATGCGTATAACTGTTCAACTAGTGCCAAGAAGAACAGCAAAATAACGGGAATATGAAACAGATTGCCTTTATACTTTGTAAAATACAAAAAAAAAAAAAAAAAAAAAAAATCAGGTTTCTAGAATAAATGTTCTAGATAAGCTATTATTTTAAGAATTATATCTTCTTAGACAAAAAGTATCCAGTATAATATTCATGCATTAAAAAACAGTTTAAGAATTATATTTTAAGATCATAAAAAAATTACTGAAATAAAAGCAGATCAAGGTTCTTTATAAAAATAAATTCTGAAAATTAATAATTGAAGTTCATTGGCAACAAATATAAAGAACTGATTATATTTTTTGAGATCAAAATGTTATGCATCTATGAAGGCAGCTAACCAATATCATGTATAGCATTTAATTTTTGAAAAGTTAAGGTAGCCTTTTTTTTTTCTTTTTTTATACAAAAGGCTACAAAAATACACCATTTCTTTCTTTTGGGCACAGAGAGAGGGGATAATAACTCACCACAGGAAAAAAAAAACAAAAAACAAAACAAACTGTAAGCTGCACAGTGAAACATTTAACTTCATAGCTTTTAATATAGATATAAAAAAAAAAAAAAAAAAAAAAAAAAAAGAGTAAAAAAAATAAACAGGTTGCTTACTTACCAAAGATGTAGCGAAGTTTTCTAAATATATAGAAAGAGCAGCTTCTACAGCTCCACCTCCAGGAACAACAGACTTAGATTCTAGCACACGTTTAACCACACACATAGCATCATGTATTGATCGTTCCATTTCATCACACATGTAGTCATTGGCACCACGTAGAATAATGGAAGAAGCAGAATGAGCTTTGGGCCTGAAAATGAAACAAAATAATTGAAACTATTGTTATATCTACATTGTTAACGATTTTTTTCAAAATGTCATTATGAAGTTTAAAGTAATAAAAAAAGCGTCTTAATTCAAATTATCAGATGCATCATTTAAGTACAAAACTTTTTTTTTTATGTATAGAATTTAAAAGAAAGTCTGATATTTTATTAGGTGTTTACAACTAATATTTAAAACCTACTTTACAACTTAAAACTAGCCATTAGATTTTAATAAAATAATACATTTCCTAGTGGCTAATGAAAAGACAAGTATTTTCATAAATATCTGTATATTTTACATTCTCTTTATATACTTTAACTGTTGTTTTACATAAAAATGTTTTAGGTAGTTTATCCTTGAGAGACACCAAGCCAAATTCTTTTATATTGCTTCCTGGGCTCTAGTAATAAACATCTAAACCAAGTAATTAGTAGTCAACTAAATAACAGAAAAAAATAACAGTTTGAAAAGAAAGATATTTTTTTTCCCCGGTTTTATCTACTGAAACAGGGTAGCATAAGTATTCAGAAAGTCAATGAGGAAAAGACATATATGAAATTGTAAAATACATTTTACAATTAAGAGAGTTCTACACAAAAATCAAATATTAAATCCAAGAGAATGGGTAAAAAAAAAAAAAAATAAAAAAAAAAAAATATATAAAAGGTAATTTTTCAAGGAAGGTTTATCAACCATTTTCATTTTCACTACAGAAGACCATATATATAAGTGTCTGCATAAGAAATAGGGAAAGTTTACTTCACTTCAGTTAAAAGATCTGCATTAAAAATTCAAATTTCTGCCAGAGATTAATCACACTGAAGCTCAATTATTTCAATTTGCAATTCCTTTGGAGCTATTATTTCTTACATCAACATTAAAGTGAGTTCCCAAAAGGTTAACATTAGCTTCTCTAGTCATTAAATCTGGAGTTCAGTTATTTTTTTCAGCTCATTTAACACCACAGCAAAATGATCATATCCAGACTACCTGTGATTGGCGAAATGTAGTTGATTCTTCCAAATCTGAAGTTTTGTTTAGAAAGCCTTAACATGAGAATACATCTCATGAATTAAGTGATTTTGCATTTGCAGTTTCAAAATTTCGAACATTTAAAAGTATAGTGATATCCATGAAGGATGCAAAAATCACAAATCCAGTTATCCTTCAGCTCTGGAACAAGTTTACTTTTTTTTTTTTTTTTTTATTTCTAAGAAGGCTTCTAGGAGGCTATAAAATTGTTAAATCTTCCCTTTAATTCACCAATGAACAGTACAGTAAACTAGATCACCATACTCCAGTACAAGTTCTTAGAAGAACTATTTAAACTAGTGATGTGTAAGTGACTCAGGATGTCATAAAATTTATACTTTAAACAACCACATGCTTAAAATTTTCAAATTTTACATACTTTACACATGAATTTTCTTGATTACTTCTGAACTGGATCATTGCAAAATCAATGTCTGCTAAATTCAAAGAGGTTAAATATTCTTTCAATTTAGTTAGAAAGCCAGTCTTAGAGCTAATCATTGCTGGGGTCCAATCTGATGCAAATTCAATGTTGTTTTCTTCATAAATAATATAACCACTATCAGAACAGTAATTCTTTGGTGATATTAAAGGATTTATCATTTGCATGTATGAAAATTGCCTGAATAAGATGAAGACAGATTCATAACATTAAAATGCAATGTTTTTTTTTTTTTTACTTCAACAAATAGTAATCAGTAATTTACTATTCCTGGAGTTTTCTCATTTCTTCAGAAATTTTTTTTTTTTTGCCATGTGTATTGACATCAAAACTTAAAATTTTAAAAATACAGCAATTTGCACACTTATATTTTGAAAATGAAAATCCATTGATCCTGCTTGACAATTGGTTACACTTGTTTACATTAGCTGAATTATCAAGAGTTGTTATAAGTGGTGGAATCAGAAATTGAATATTAAATCATTTTCTATCACTGATATAGTGTCCTGAATAGAGATGCCAATTTAAGGCATTATTAGAGATTGCGACCCATGAAAAAATTACATAAATGATGACAAATATATTTCTTTTTCTGACTGGGTTACCCACAATGCAACAATGTAAGCAAGATTAGTCAGGCATGTAATAGTTATTTCCATTTCACACTAGCTTATCCAAACCTGAGAGAAGAGAGAGAGAGAGACTGAGGAGAAAAAAAATAATAAAAATAAAATAAAATAAATAAACAAAATTTTCCTTGCAAAATTAGGAAATTCAGAAAACCCCCACAGACTAGTTTGCCCATGACTAATTGAGAATTATGTAATACCTGATATTAAATAATCTTATATAAAGTAAAAATGTGGGAGAATTATATGAAGATTGAAAACTTTGGAGATGTACTGTACCCTTTAATGATAATAAGTTCATCATCACAGACACGCTCCAAAGAAACCTGTTCAGCTTGTCCCAATTGAGATACTTCAAATGTTTCTTCACCATCCAAATTGGACATATTCATAGTGAGAGTAGCTGTAAAGAGTAAAAACAATTTAGTAAAAGCAGGTTATAGCTGAAAAGCAAGGAGGTAAATAAGATGGTAAATACAAAATCCTCTTTACTTTCCACTATGTTTATTTACTAAGAAAAACATTTGTAATTTGCTGTGTCATTCCACTTTTTTTTCTTTTTGATAGTAACAGGACCCAAAAAATATAAATCAATTGTGCGTGTATATATATATATATATATATATATATATATATATATATATGAAAAGATAGAGAAAAAAGAAAAGAAAGAGGGGGAGTGACTGCCATAATAAATAACAAGTGACTTTAAAAAACACAATATAACAAAATTTTAATTATTACATGATTATTAAAATACATCTGAGAATTTATCTATCATCAAAGAAAAGTATGTATTATTTCTGATAGGATAATCCAGTTACTACCCGCTTAAAACCCTCTGCACAGATATAGAAAAAGGTTTTTATTTTCAAAACAGAAGCCATGATAAATCTTATACACTACTAGCAGCATGGCCTGGCATTGCCTGTGCTTGATTCAAAAATCGTACGACTCATACAGCAATCGCTATCACTTGACTTAAAATATTTTTGCCCTTCCTTGCCTTTAAAGGAGTGCCCTTTACCATGCTGATGTTGCTACATGCCTTACTTCTTGCCTATCTCACACTGCAATTTTTTTTGAGCTCTATACTAAACATTAAATCTGTTACGAAAAAAGAACTAAACAAAATGAACACAAAATGATCAGCTTTAAAAAAGGACTGGTAACTGGAAAAACTGAATGAAAAAAGAATGTTATATACTTTTTCACACCCAACCCAGAATCAACGTTGAGTTTAAGCAAATGAATGAGCCAATTGGAGTAAAGTGCCATGCAGATTTAAATTTTTCCCCACTTGTGACGAATGCAGCTATCAATTTTTCTTTTTTTTTTTCATACTAGCATGCTAGTTAACACTCGTGTCAGTCAGCTGTTGGTTCTCACTCTGGCCAGTACAAAATGGCTGCAAACTACATGAAAACTGCCATAGAAGCATGAAAAAAAAGGATTATTTCCACTATCGATGGGAGTTGGGAAACGCAAAGTTGGTCTTGGCCTTCCTGCTAACTTGGAGCAGGTGCATGTAAATTTTGGTGCAAATCTGTTGAAAATGCAGCCGTACATTCGTTACATACACACATCCTGCCTTTTATAGATAGAGATGTAAAATATTATGCAAGTCAATGTTTTACGAATTAGTATTAATTAGTGCACATAAAATTTTTCAGGATTCATATAGATATGAATGTTTTATTAGAAATATTTACAATAATTTATTTCCAGGCAGCAGTATGTTGATATTGTTAAGTGAAAATTAATTTTACGAATCAAAATGCTCATAACAATTGTTTGTGCCAATATATTTTTAAAAGAATTTTAAAAAATAATTTTTAGTGTATAGAGCATTCCCAATTTTTATCTATGGGAATCTATACATGACACAATCCTATAATCTATACATGTCTGATGCATTGTAATTTTTTCACTTTCAGTTCTGTTTCATCCTTAACGTCCTTACAAATCATCCCTTCAAAATTTTGAAGTAACTTAAATTTAAAGTACTATAAAAAATTAAATAACCATCATGATAACAATAATAAATACCGTAACATTCATAAATTATTGATTCTTACCTCTATCATGGTATTTTATGTTGGTTTTTAAATTTTTAAATTAATCTACAAAAATTTTATATTATTTTAAATTTTATTTTTTCATAAAGCATCCTCAAACATAACTAAAAGTAAAAAAATATTAGGCAATTGCTGAAAATATTATGCTAATTCGTAAAAAATGACTAAGTAGTTAAAAAAAAAAAAAAAAAAAGAAAAAAAAAGGGGTTCACTTAGATTTCGTAAATTTATGCCAATTCTGGTCATCCATACTAGCTGTCACCACCTCATAACTTATGTGATGATAACGTCAAAAAAGACATGAGAAAAAAAAGCACCCATTAAGAAATGTTTGTATACTATATTTTTTATGCTATAAGTAATATTTGTTCCAAATCAGATTAATTTAACTTTAAATTTGCTAATTTTACTCAAATAATGTGCCACAAATATATATTTTTGGAAGATTTTAAAATCAATTTTGTTTCGTTTACAAATTTCTTAAAATTAAGAAAATGGCGCAAAAAAAAAGGGGGGGGGCAAATATCTGGCATTCCAATCTATATTTCTATCTGAAATTTACTTACTGGAATTTAATCATTTAGTTTAAAGCTAAAATGAATCTTCAAGAATGCTTTTTTCATTTTAAAAATTAATTTTAAACCTTAGGCATTGAAATTTAAGTGGAGGTACATATTTTTAATACATAGATATTATAAAAGGAAATACCATATGTTGCTTATATATGTCTTACATAGTGCAAGGAAGCTTACTTTAGGCATCAAAATATTAATACAAATTTGTGTAAAAGATGTAATTATTCCTTCCTTAAATATGTTCAACAACAAAAATGAGAGAAAAAGATATTTAAAAGCATATGATGAATGGATTAGATTTCTAATAATTTTACTAGCTATTAAATCATAAATATTCATCTTTAAATAAATGTACAATTCAATCCCACCTTTTAAACTGCTCATTCAAGTACACCTACATAAGTTTGTGATTTAAGAAATGTTCAGGTTTCAAATTCTGTTACAGAAACAAGACCCACAGGATGATCCCAATTTCCATACATGCAAAATTAACTTTACTTTTTGTTCTTAGCTAAAACAAGGAAAATAAATACCTCCAGTTGCTTTGGCAATTCTCTTCAAATCAACTTGTTTACAGCGTCTTACAGCCATAGCCTTAGCTTCAACAAAATACTTAAGGCAAAGATCATCTATTCCACCAGAAACAAGGATTACATTGGCACCAGTTGCCAAAATCTTTTCAATTCTCTCCTTTGTAATGTCAGATTCCCTACAAGATATAAAAAATTATTTTTGTGTTAAAACTGCAGAATTCAGCATCTAAATATTTTTCCATATTTGCTGACAGTGATAATTATTTAAATGATGAACTCCGTAAAGAATAAAATGCAAATTTTATATTTTTCTAAAGTAATGTAAGTAATTTCATTGCATAAAATTATTTCAATAGTTGTATCTGCAAAAAAAAAAAAAAATTGGCTCTGGTTACAATGAAACCATCCACATTTTCCAGCAGCAGTTTACTGTTTCCCATGCGTATAACTGTTCACCTATTACAGAGAAGAGCAGCAAAATAATGGGAAATTAGCCCTAAAATAATATTATTAATGATACCATGAAAGCCTGTAAATTGATGATTAAAAAGCTATTACCGTTTCCGCATATCTTCAAGTTTTTCAGGATCTTCAATTAGAAGTTGTACACCAAGTTTCATCTTTTCTTTTCTGAGGCCAAAATCCAGGCATGCAATCTTGGCTCCAACAATAGTCTTAGGCATAGCTATAAAAAAAAAAAAAAAAAAAAAAAAAAAATCTATAGTTTGTAAGAAAATTTTCTTTCAAAGCTAAAGATTTTAGAATTGCTGGAGTTTCTATACAAGTGATGGTATTTCCTGCAACATATTTGAACAGTTTTAAATTTGGTCAAGACAATTGGAGGGAAAAGATGCCATACTAGACAAACAGTTATCTTCATGTTTAAGTATTTACTAAATCATGGCATAGAATATCAGTTTTTTTTGGGTTTTTTTTAAATACACTTAGAATGAATGTTTTACCTCTAGAAGCAATTGTGCAATTTAAAGCATAACCATTTATAAGAACGCTTTCTTTACTACTTCGTCCATGAGCCTTTAAAACATTGACAGCTTTCACTGGATATCGAGAGTTGCCTTTATTATCAGTCACCTTTACAGCCATCACTGCATCTACAACCATCTTGGAAAAGAAATCAGCTTCACTGAGAGAAAGTAAAGGAATTGAACATGATCCAGTGTATGAAAAATAATTCTTAAATTAAGAGTCAATATACAATCAATTTCTTCAGAGATCAATAAAAAAAACACAAGTTAAATATATATCAAATGTAGATGTGCTAAACAATTGAAACTAGAAAAACATTAAAGAAATGGGAAGTATACAAAACATTAAAAATGACATTGTATAAGGTTTACTATTAAACAAAACAAAACAAAAAAAAAAAAAGGAAAAGAAAAAAAGTGAGTTATTAAATGTTTCTTTGCTTAATTATACTGGCAGATTAAAAAATAAAATGTAGCAAAGAATCTTTTAAAAATACTGATGTATCAATGTTTTTCAATTACTTGTTCAAATGACCATTTATAAAAGCACATTATGATAATCAGGAAAAATTACAATTGTTTGATCAAATTTAAATCAACCTAAATATGAGATTTCTAAAGGTTTTTTTTTTTTTTCCTTACCACTAGGTTTAGAGAGGGGAAAAAAAAAAAAAAAAAAAAGACTTCCAATTACAACAGAAGAAATGTATAATAAAAACTAACTGAATATAGTTATTAATAGTTATAGTTTTTCTTGGGCAAAAATAAGTATTTTTATTACTCTTAGATAGGTACCTCCACGAAATCGCTAAAAAAAAGAGCATAGCTTGATGAAAAAGATGCCAACCTTGCCGAAAACAAAATTTTATTGTCTAAATGCTTATGTTATTATTAAGAGGACACAGCTGTTTGAGGTTTCCTACAGACCCACTGAACTTAAATAAAGTCAATTCAGGTTTCCTATGGTAAAAATTTTCTTTTCCCAAGTGAAAATCATCACAAAAATAGCAAAAAGTCATTTTGTCACAGCTTATTTTCTCTCTCAAAATATGGGTTTTCATACTTTTTAGGGGTAAAATATTGAAAAATGACTGTTTTATCATCACCTAAACGAATATCAAGGAAACTTTTGATCTGAACCCCATGAAACTAGGTATTTTCTGAAAGCAAATATATATTCTTTCATTTAAAAGTAAAATTAGCTGGTGTAAATGACTCAAAATTTTTTTCAGTGGGTAAAATGTGAAAAAATAGTGAAAATTTTGCATTATTTTCTTGTTCTAAACAAATATTTCCCCCATTAATGGGAAATTAACCATTTTTTTTTTTTTTTTGAAAATCAGAAAGCCTAGATCATAATCAAACTATTTCAGGCATAAAATTGAGAGTTTTGAAGGAAATCAACATTCCTAGGGGTTCAAAAAATGCGACAAAATCCATTGTTAATTTTCAATTATGACTGCCAAGGGTTAAAAAATTGACACCTGGCCACGGGAAATCTTTAGTAAAAGGCAAGAGATTTATCTGCAATTCCTAACCACCAGAAACCAAAAGTTGTTTTTTTTTTTTTCCTAAAAATAGTGATAAGGGAAATAAACCTAATTGACTTTGACGTCTAGGTCAAAGGCCAGCCAGCCAACCAGCTAGCAATAAACGGACGGCAAACCTTAGAACAAGTTGTAATAAAACCCACCACTCCCAGATAAAAGCAAAGGGTGAATAAAAAGGGTTCACAATTACTAGGGCTTCATATAACCTATGTTTGAACAATGGCTTGATAAGTTTTGTTTTGTTTTAACACCCGTGACCGGGTGATGACAACAACACTTAGCAGCCGACATTATTTTTTTTTTTCGATATCTTTTTGTATTTCCCATCGCCGGTTCATTTAGCCTTTCTTTTATTCAATGATGTTCATGCCAAATGAAGAAAGGAATGAATTTTGAATGATGTTATTTTGAAGCGAAAATGAATATTTTTTTCATTAAAAAAAGGGATTTTTCTCAGAAAATTGTGCATAATTTCTTAATGCTAACCGCTGAAAAGACATTTTCCACAGCCAAATCGAAGATTAATTACCAGTGAATAATTCCATGTGCAAAAATAGCCGTCTGGATCCTATAAGGTCGCCCTAAAAGGTCCAGAAGTTTACTAATTGATCGAAAACCTGTTGGGATAATTGTATTTTTTCACGGTCAGTTTCCATTATTTCATCTTGATATTATCATTTTCGGACAGCCAAGTCATCAAGGATTCAGGAAAACACTTTGACATAGGTTTTCTTTAAGAACTTTACATTCTATGAGGTGTTTAAAATGTTACTGACGAATGAGATTTTTTTTTGCCGCATATTTCGTTTAAAAAGCATAGTATGTTGGATTTTCCTATATGACAAAAAAACAAGGGTTTTAAACAGCTGTGAGGAAAGACCAAAGTTTTTTTTTTTTAATTATTTTTAAAAAATTTTCCTTCTTTTTAGAACATTCTAAATTTTGATTAAAAAAACCTTGTTTCTATTTGTATCAGCGGAACTAGTAAATAAGACAATTTTTAGCACGTTTTTTTTGGTATGACACACATTAATTTGAAAAATTGTGCAAAAATAGAAATAATTATCGGATGTTAATGAAACTTTCAGGAACTATTCACAGATGATCGAAATTATTATAAATGTTTTTTTTTTATGAAAGTCATGGTAGAAATATTTTTTTAAAATATTTAATACCCCCCCATAACTAATTTTATGAAAACACTAGAAATTCGATCACATCGGTTTTAGTGATTACAATAATTAAAAGCACAGGGCTTTGAGGAATGCAAATCATGTTTTTTTGTTTTTAATTGGATCACCCAGTACCTGAAAAATCAGCTGTGAATTGTAACATACAAAAACTCAATAAAACAAAGATATTATTTTATTTCAAATGCTTTTATTTGCTTTTAGTTGTTTTTATGAATATGGACAATATTTTCTGAAAGCAAAAAAAATTTGATGAAAAATGAATTTTAATACAATTATTTGTTATTTCATTAATTATAATAGATTTTACATTCAAGTTGTTAAAATATTATAAAATTAGTTAAAAGTCAGATCAGCTTTCATAAGTGTCCTTATGAGATAGATCTTTTTTTTAGCACGTTATAAATTGTATCATTTTGACTAATCAGAAAATCCCCAGTAATTAAGAAATGTAATTTTGTGCTTATAATCGAGCTGTAATTATAAAATGGAAGACCAACCAGAATATAATTAAGTTGCGTTATTTGAATTAAGCATTGTTCTCCGCTGTTAAGGCCTTTACTTTTTGCGAAACACGTGTGGAGAAGTTAATTTGATTTTTCAATTTCAACTGAGAAGGGTACCTACAAGTATCAGTATCATCTTATGAAATTTATATGATCTTATTTTTATATTAATCTCAGTTACGACATTTTTCCATAAATGAAAAATCAAAATTAATAATAAAATGAATGCAAATAACAGTAGAATGTAATAAATGTACATAAAATTATAGTATTTTATGTACAATTCCGATAAAATTTCATAAGAAAGGTACCTATAAATTAATTAGATACCTTTCTTAAGAAATATGAAATTTAATGTCACTCTTAACAGTTTTATTTTAATTTCTTTAGGATATATTTCCCATAAAGCATCATAAACGTAAAAGGTGAAAGCTAAGTACAAAAAAAAAAAAAAAAAAAATTAGACCGCTGAAAGTTTTCATTAAAAATAACTGGGTAAATAATTTGTTCACGTAAATGTAAATTATTTCACTTTTCTCCTTCCAGAGAACAAATTAGCCTCATGGAATTGTAAATATATCATTCATCACATGTCAAGAGACGCGAAAGTTTATGACCTGCTTTGTTTTATTTTCAAATTACATCTTTTTGGCACAAAAGCTAAGTTAAGTTTGGTTCAAAATATTTTAAATAAACATTATAATTTCTGATTTTCTTAAAATAAGTTTTGAAAAAATGATAATTGATATTTAAAAAATTTCAAAGTCAGATTACCATTTTTTTTTTTTAAAATGGAAAAAAAAAAATGGTCAATTTTGCTGACTCAAAAAAAAAAAAAATTTTTAATGAAAATTTCGGACGTGCTAGAACGATTAAAAATGGAAAAAAATACCCCCCAAAAAATACTTTGACCTTTCCTCTTAGTAATAACAAACATTTAGACGATAAAATTTTGTTTTCGTCAAGTTTGGCGTCTTTTTCATCATGCTATGCTCTTTTTTTTAGCGATCTCGTGGAGGTACCTACTCTTAGACGAAATAGTAATTATTTTAAAAGAAATTAATCTATTAACATTTAAGAGTTAAAGAATGAATACATTTCACTTTAAATATATGGAAGATTAAACAATCTATACAAATTTATTTGAAAATATCAAGTCCATAAATATATTAATGGTTACAATATTGTTTTAATTCATAGAAATGTCAGTAAACAATGTCAAAGTGAATAAAAGTGAAAAAACGCAGGTAGGCATAGGACATAATGCAATAAAACAAAAAGGATACGCTCCAATCAACTTGCTAGACATACTAGTCTTTGCAGCATTTACAATGCATTCACTGTCCAATTCATCTGTACCAACACACAGATTTTCTTGAATGTAACGACAGGCTTCCCTAAAGTCAACAAAAATTGAAAATTGTGACATACAAAAAGGAAAATATATTACAGTTGGAATAAATAGGGTAGCAATTTGATGCAATAAAGTATGTTATATTGAGAAGTTGTGGTCTTGAAGGGAGAGCACTGTGCTAGAAAAAATAAAAAGGTGTTATCTTTTCAAAAAGTCATTCACACAAAGGGAAAAAAATTATGATACTACAGAATTGATATAAGAGATAAAATTTTTCATTAAATTCCCAAATTGACAATACCATAAAGTCTAGGACACAGACTACTAAACAAGGGCTAAAAATAAGTTTCACATTAATTCCAATTTTATGAAACCAACTTTATGAATACTAGCACTACACAATCCCCCAAAACAATAAAAATAAATAGTATAGTATAATATTACAGAAGAGGAAGTTTTAAAGTTAAAATAAAGCTTTACAGAATTCAAATTCTTCCCATTAAAAGAATTTTGTATAGATCAAAACAAGTGGTAATCCAAAAGTGCAAGGTCAGGTGAGTATAGCAAATGTAGTAGGATAGTGATTTTCCAAGTGTAGGTTAGATGTGCCACAAGGCCAAAAGTTCTGGAACCCAGTGAGGATTGAACTCACTACCCACTCGTAATTGTTTTAACGGGACAAGCTTACTAACCATTACACCACCTCGAAGTGCCCCAAGGTGTAGTAGGATATCCCAGCCAATCTGTACAAACTTCTGCTAGACAAGTACTCTGGCATTATCCTGTTGGTCAATTCCACATGCTTATCATCAATTACTATATTTAATCCAATTGCAAACTAAATTGTCTGATTTTGCAGGAACTCCTACTATACAATGCCCTCCCAGTCTCACCAGATACACTGCATCACACTTTTTAGAGGAAGACCAATTTTTAAAGTGGTTTAAGGTAGCTGGATTATTTTTCCCCAGGATCTTTTTCATTTTGTAAACAATCAGTTTTTCATTGTTTATTTTCCTCCCAAAACAGGTAGTTTTTGTTGCATTACATTTGCAGAGACTCACAAATGGAAATGCAGTCTAATTTCTTTTTATACATTAAATTGTGTGGCATCCAAACATTGTAGCAATTTACATAACCAAGAGTTTTCAAATGCTTTACAATGTTGATATGAGATATTTGGAGTATCTCTGCAATGTCCTATATGATCTGAGCTGGATTATTTTTAATCAGCATTTTAATTTGATCATCAATGAATTCAGACCTGTCAAAACATTCGCCATCCACCAGACCAATTTCCACTTCCGAATCTTGCAAACTACTTAACAGTATTCTCAGCTATGGCCCTATCTCCATAAATTTCACCATATCTTTTTTCTGTATGTACAAGAAAAGCCTCAAATGACAAAAAAAAAAAAAAAAAAAAAAAAAAAAAAAAAATTTGTTTTTAAAAATTCACTATTGACAAATGAATTGTATAGACAGGTTGAAATGGCAGCTTTCAGAATATGCATGTATGTCAAATTTCACAAGTGAAACAAAATCATATGTTAAAATAGCACCTATTGAAAAACACTAACTTTTGTTCCAGCTCAATTCTTTCTTTTATGTAAGCACTAAATCCATGCTACAAAAATAGTTTTTGATATTTTCATGATGTGCTGAAAAGTTCACAGTCCAAAAAAGGAAACCCCAAAAGGACATAAAAATCAGATTTTCAGAAGTAGAATAGAATAATTTTCAGCTCCTCATTAAAATGAATTATACATGTTGCATTATGTTGAAAAGTTGATCAAATATTTTCAAGAGTTTGAGTTGTATAATTAAAGGGGTTGAATAAAAGATAAATCAATTTACTTTATTAACATTGTCCTTAAAAAAGGAAACAAAATTTTCACTTTATAACTCTTGCAATTATCCTTACACTTTTCATAGTGATAACTCAATTTTTTTTCTTCTTCCTCCATTATCATGTCTGTGTAGAAACTACACACTTGTGTTTGGAATAATTTCTCTAATGATAAAATTTCAAAGGCGAAATGGTCTAGAGTACATGTAGCTACGGATTTCCCAGATACTTAAACTCAAGATTCAAAGTGGTACTTGTGCTCCCTGATTATCTTCAGTATGTACTGGAGTAGTGATAACTGATTCCATAAAGACTGTACAGAGGGTAAATTCCATACGGATACACATATACTTTTCAATATTGTTTTAGAGTACTTTCTAGATTAGTTATTAAAATTTTTGTCAGCTTTAACAATTCTGACCCACTTTAGGTTCTTGTCATTGTTTTACATCTTATGCTAGATTAAGAACAGAAAAACGCTAAAAGGTCCTTTTTATTAATCCAGTGACGTGCCATTATTTTCCCTCTCCAATAAGATCATTTAAAGGCATAAATTTTCCGATTCAGTCTTATCACTTCAGTATCTAAATCAAATTTTTTTATTTTTTTAAAGTAAGCCAATATCTTTTCTACAGCAAAAGTTAACTAAGTGTCATCACAATACACAAAAGCATTTGAAAGAAAAGAAATCAAGAGAATAAAGTATGAAACAAGTTTTAGTATATCAAATTAATAGTAAAATGAACTTACTTGCAAGCTAACCTATAACCACTGATAATTGTTGTTGGATGAATTTTGCTTTTGACCAATTCATCAGCATTCTTCAAGAGCTCTCCAGCCATAATTACCTAAAATAAAGATAAATTTGCTGTACATGGTTTGACATCTACATTAACTTATAATGTAAGCATCTTGTGTCAAGTTGCATTACAATTAGAAGGAGGTGGTTACAAAGAAGAAGAAGAAGGAGGAGGTGGTTACAAAGAAGAAGAAGAAGGAGGAGGTGGTTACAAAGAAGAAGAAGGAGGTGGTTACAAAGAAAAGAAGAAGGAGGTGGTTACAAAAAGAAGAAGAAGGAAATTGGTTACAAAGAAGAAGAAGGAGGTGGTTACAAAGAAGAAGAAGGAGGTGGTTACAAAGAAGAAGAAGGAGGTGGTTACAAAGAAGAAGAAGGAGGTGGTTACAAAGAAGAAGAAGGAGGTGGTTACAAAGAAGAAGAAGGAGGTGGTTACAAAGAAGAAGAAGGAGGTGGTTACAAAGAAGAAGAAGGAGGAGGAGGAGGTGGTTACAAAGAAGAAGAAGGAGGAGGAGGAGGAGGTGGTTACAAAGAAGAAGAAGGAGGAGGAGGAGGAGGTGGTTACAAAGAAGAAGAAGATTGTTAAAGAAGAAGATTAAGTGAAAAAACAAAGTAAAATTATATAATTGTTTGAGCTGAAATATCTTCCTGCAGATAAAGCTTAACTAATATTATGTAGCTGGTCAACAAATTGACAGAAAAATCAAGGGTTTCAATTAAACAGCATTTTTTTTTTAATCATTTCACCTCAGGCAAGGCAAAAAAAACCTATTAAGACGCAAGGGGTTACAGAGTGCAAAAGAATGAGTAAAAGAAAACATTAAGAGAGAATAATAAAAGAACAGGAATTAATAAGGCTGAAGATAATGATTGATACTGCATTTAAATTTTTAACAATCAAAGTTAACTGGAAAGAAAGAAGCCACAAAAGAGTTCCACAAGTGAGAAGTGCAAGAAGAGAAACTGTTAGCATAGAACTTATGGCTACATATGAGACCTTGCCACCAATCTAGTAGTACACTTAAATTAGGTACCTCAACTTTTGCTAAAAAAGAGTGTAGCATGATGAAAAAAGGCACCAAACTTAATAAAAAAACAAATTTTATCGTCAAAATGTTTGTTATTAAGAAGAAAGACCAAAATATTTTTTTTATAATTTGTTTTTAATTCTTTATTCCTTTCTAACACATTCAAAATTTTGGTTAAAAGTTGTTTTTTTTTAATGCCTCAGTGTAACTGAAAATTTTAGCGCCTTGTTTTTCCAGTAAAATAACACATTTATTCGGAAATTCTTGCAAAAACCAAATAATTGTCAGAATTTAATGAAACTTTCAGGACTTATTCACGAATGAATGAATTTATTTTTGAAATTATTTTTTTTTATTATTTTTTTTATTTATTTCATTTTTTTTATTACAAAATCTTGGTTAAAAAAAAAAAAAAAAAGATAAGATTTTTTTTTGCATCTGTTACCTGCGACATAATATCAAAATTTCTATAAATTAAATTCCATCCTCCAAATTTGTTTTATTAGTAAAAGGCAGGACTTTTTTCACCCATTTTTTTTTTTTTTTTTTAAAGTTATTCAATTCCTAAAAAATCTGCTCCAAATCATAAAATAAAAAGTGCAATAGAACTATGACATTATTTAATTAGATGAGATATATATATATATATATATATATATATATATATATATATATATATATATGGCTCATTCTGTGTCAAATCAACAAATTTTGGGGGGCAAATACCATGTCCGACACGGATTTTTTTTCAAATTTGCTACACTTATAGATCTCCATGAAAGGAATTGAATGGCACCTGTTACACATCTCAAGGTCAAGGGGTTCCTGAGATATGACCTCTGACCTTTTTACGAAAATGTGAATAGTGACCAACTTTAAAAGATGATATCTCAGTTGTTTATGGACCTACAAAGTTCATTCATATATCATTCTAAAGTACTTGGATGGATCTACAATTTTATCTGGGGATTTTTTTTTTTTTAGGGGGTCAAATAAAAAAGTTGACCTTGACCTTGTCCTTTGATCTGACTTATCTCAAAAAACGTTATTTTAATTTTTTTTTAATTTTGACAAAAGATTTGTCTATCTTATGACAGTACATATTCCAAATTTCATGATGGACATTCCACTAGAACTGTTGTTACAAGCGTTTTATAGGACTGGGCAAAATTCAAAATGGCAGAATGTAGTATCCGCTACTTCATATAAAAGCATTTTGATATTTCACAATATGGTCAAGTTGTATATCTTTGTAAAGCTATTTTAATGCTGATTAATATTCACATAAGGACCATGGTCATGAAATTAATAAAAAAAATTTTTTCTGGTGATGAAACTGAATTTTCTTCATTTTTTTTTTCTAATGCAACACAGATTTTGTTATGGAAAAAGTGATATATAGAAATATATAGAAAAAATTTACAGGAGCAATATCTGATAGAATCAGTATAATTTCATCAAACATTTCTCATGTGGAATCAAATAGCGCAGAACACCAAAACTTTGAAAGAGAAATCATCACCCAGTTGAAAGAGAATTTTGCTGTGAGTGAAAAGAGATCACAAAAAATTCAAATTCTGACTGTACTTCTAAAAAGCTGGAGTCTAAGCAAAATACAAACATAATTTGGCACTACAATGTACATGGCAAAGCCAGCAAAAAAACTTGTGAATGAGGAAGGAATTTTAGCTTTGCCAAATACACGAAAAACTAGATTCCCACAAGAGACGATTGATAAAATGAGGCAGTTTTATAAAAGTGAAGAAGTCAGTAGAGTGATGCCTGGAAAAAATGATTACAAGACGGTTTTAAAGGATGGGAAACTGGCTCAGGAACAAAAATATCTTGTTCTCTGTAACTTGAAAGAGGCATTTGAATTATTCAAATCAAAGAACCAGGAGAAAATAAGCTTCTCTAAATTCGCTGAGCTTAGACCAAAAGAATGTGTGCTAGCAGGTGGTGCTGGGACTCATACTGTCTGCATTTGCACAATCCATCAGAATATGAAGTTGATGATTTCAGGATCTTGGTAAACTGACTGAAGGAGGAAATTATCATTTGACAGATTACCACCAATGCATACTTGCTGTTACATGCAATGAAGCATCAGCAAGTTGATATTAGGTTGGTGCAAAAATAATGTTGTTTTTTGATGTTAAGTTGAATGTCAAAAAACGATATTTTTGCACCAACCTAATACTTGGGTGACTGCTCAACTTGCAGCAAACTGATGGATGATTTTGTTTTGTATATGGAAGAAATTTTTTTTTTACAAAAATTCAGTTGATGATTTTGTATACAAACAGTGGTTATCAACTGATAGAACCACTCTACAAACTATCACAATCTACGGAGGAATTCATTGAAACTTTCCATGCAGGCCTTCAAACATTGAAGAAGCATAATTTCATTGCCAAAGCACAATCAAAATTTTGTTCTGATAGAAAAGGTTCTTTGAAGGTTGGTGAAGTTTTAGCAATAGCAGATTTTGCTGAGAATTATTCATTTATTTTGCAAGATGTGGCTCAAGGCTTCCACTGGAATAATGATCAAGCTACATTGCATCCATTCATCTGCTACTATAGAAATAGAATTGACCTTGAGCATATTAATTTTGTAATAATATCTGATTGTCTCAAGCATGACACAGTAGCTGTCCATTTGTTTCAAAGAAAGCTTGTAGAAAAATTAGAAGAAATTCTTGATTTTGATGTCCAAAAAATGATATATTTCTCTGATGGTGCTGTTTCACACTATAAAAATTTTAAAAACTTTATAAATTTGTGCAACCATAAATCTGATTTTGGTATCGATGCAGAGTGGCACTTTTTTTGCTACTTCTCATTGGAAAGGACCATGTGATGGGTTAGGTGGCACTGTTAAAAGGTTAGCAGCAAAAGCTAGCCTGCAGAGACCCTATAATGAACAAATAATGACACCAAGACAGCTGTATTTTTATGCGAAAAAAATATTTCCGGAATACATTTTTTATATTCCTCAACGGCAGAATGGACAAATGAAGCAAACATCTTAGATTTAGCAATTCCTCCACTATTATAGGAACACAGAAATTACATACTTTCATTCCTGTCTCTCAGAGGGAATTGGAAGTAAAAATAGTGTCAACACAAAATAAAGGAAGGATAGTTCGAATCACAAAACTAAATATGGAGTTCGAAGACATTAATGGATTTGTGACAGCACTTCATGATAGGAATTTGTGGTTTGGATGTGTACTTGAAAAATATTCACATAATGGAGAGGTGAAATTGACATTTTTACAACCAAATGGACCCTCTCCATCTTTCTATTATCCATCACATTCAAATATGTCAATTTTGAAATATTCTGATATTCTTAGCTCAGTTGATCCAATAACCGAAACAGGAAGAACTTATAAACTTTCAAAAAAATGAGATGAAAAATGCAAATATTTTAGAAAGAAAGATTTTGAAAGAAAAATCTAAAACACATTAAAGTTCATTATTATAAAAAAGTTTCAGTGAAACAGATTTTTCATTTTCCATTTTGAAATGTATCCCAATGAACACAGATTGATTTCTTATGGATATAGTGTATCATGTCAAAAGTCAAAGAAACTGTTTACCATCAACATCAAATGTCATTCTTTTGATACTATAACCCAATTAAATTTTGATACACTTTTTAGAATTCTTTCTTACATCACTTTTTCTGTATCAAAATCTGTGTTGTATAAGAAAAAGTATGAAAGGAATGTTAAAAACAGTATGATCTCCAGAAAAGAATTACTTTGATTTCACAACCAAAACTTGCATAAAACTCAACATGTCAAGAATTTTTTTAGAACATTCATTTTTAAAGTTTTTTCATTAAAAAAAAGTAACCATAAACAACGGGAATTGCTTTATTTTTGTAGATTTAGAAAATCAAACATCAACCAAAATTTGTTCACCATTGAGGTCACAAATTTTTTATGCTATAATTTAATTAAAACTTAACACTTTTCAGAATTTTTTAAAATTCATTTCAAACCTAAGATATTGCAAATTAGTGGAGGTACCTCACTTAATTTCAGAAAGTCTAGGTACCAAAGAAAAAAAGCTCATGAAAACAATTATGAAAATATTTATGAAAAATACAAGGAGTCACTGACTTATTTGCGAGGTTAACCAATTCATAGTTGATTAGAGCCTCTAGTATATTGCCAAAAAGTGGTAGAAGGTTAATAGTAGGTACCTCCACGAGATCGCTAAAAAAAGAGCATAGCATGATGAAAAAGACGCCAAACTTGACAAAAACAAAATTTTATCATCTAAATGTTTATGTTATTATTAAGAGGAATGGTTAAAGTATTTCGGGGGTAATTTTTTTTTTTTTTAAAATCGTTCCTAGCACATCCGAAATTTTCGTTAAAAATCTTTTTCTTTTGAGTCAGTAAAATTGACCATTTTTTTCCATTTTATAAAAAAAACTTAAAATCTCACTTTGAAATTCTTGTAAATATCAATTATCATTTTCTCAAAACTTATTTTAAGAAAATCATAAATTATGTTTATTTAAAATATTTTGAACCAAGCTTAACTTAGCTTCTGCGCCGAAAACATGTAATTTGAAAATAAAACAAAGCAGGTCATAAACTTTTGCATCACTTGACAGGTGATGAATGACATATTGATGGATTCCATGAGGATAATTTGTTCTACGAAAGGAGAAAAGTGAAATAATTTACATTAAGTGAACAAATTATTAGTGCTCTAATTTTTTTTTTTGTACTTAGCTTTCACCTTTACATTGCTTTATGGAAAATATATTAAAGAAATTAAAATGAGACTGTTAAGAGTGAGATTAAATTTCATAAGAAAGGTATCTAATTAATTTATAGGTACCTTTCTTATGAAATTTTATCAGAAGTGTACATAAAATACTATAATTTTATGTACATTTATTACATTTTACTGTGTTATTTGTATTTCCATTCATTTTATTATTAATTTTGATATTTCATAAGAGGATTCTGATACTTGTAGGTACCCTTTCTCAGTTGAAATTGAAAAATCAAATTAACTTCTCCACATGTGTTTCGCAAAAGTAAAGGCCTTAACAGCGGAGAACAATGCTTAACTCAAATAACGCAACTTAATTGTATTGTGGTTGGTCTTCTGCACTTTATAATTACAGCCTGATTATAAACTCAAAATTACAAAATTACAAAATCACTGTGGATCTTCTGATTAGTCAAAATGATACAATTTAACATGCTCAAAAAAAAAAAAAAAAAAAAAAAAAATCTATCTCATAAGGACACTTAGGAAAACCGATGCAGCTTTTAACTAATTTTAGAATATTTTAACAACTTAAATGTAAAAATCTATTATAATTAAGAAATGACAAATAATGGAGGGGGGGGGAAAAAAAAAAATAAAAAATAAAAAAATAAAAAAAACATGCAGACGGGGGTACACATGTTTGCATGTACAAAAACTATGTCCCAACACAGATACAAAAGCAAAGTACCATAGTATGATTGTGCATACACCTACATGAAAGAGAGATATGTGAGCATTAGATGTGCAGGTGAGAGGGTTTTTGCAAAGAGAGGTCACGTGCGATGAAGGGAGGGGGATTTCCATGAAGGATCATAGGTGGTGATTCTGCATACATGCGCACACACACACACACACACACTTGTGCATTTCCTCAGATATGCATATACATATATACCTATCCACATACATATACGCATGCACAAATACATGGAAAGCATCTGAAACCCAAGTTTGGGTTAATCTTCTTTAAAATCGAGGTTCAGGCCTTACATATGATCCTCCATTTTATTTGTGGGGTGAAGCCTACTTCAATGAGGTCCCAATAGTCTTTTGATAGGGCCATCTGAGATGGAATAAAGTGTTTATCAGCTATTGCTGTCTTTCCAGGACTTTTCAAGCCCTGGGAAAAGCCCTGTCAAATATATAAAATTCATTACAGCTTTTATTTTCTGATTTTTTTAATTTTTTTCTTTTTACATCATTTTCAACCAATTTAATTTCTCCAAAAATTTACATTTTTTGTTACCCAGAATATGTTGTGATTCCATAAAATTAAGAAGAGGGAATAATTGGATTAAATAAATAAAATAAAATATAAAAAACAATTTCCCTATTCATAAATGAAGTACTGAAAATGTTTTTGAATCAAATAATTAGCAGTGTTTTTATAGATAGATTATTAGGTCAGATAAATTATTAGGTCATTGCAAAAGATTAGAAAATTAAAAACAAAATTTTATGTACTTACAAAAGAACAAAAAAAAAAAAAATCATTAGTCAAGTACAATGTCTACCATCATTCTACAAGTTTTTTGATGCCATTCTTGTATTATTTTTTTTTTTTTTTTAGAAGAATATTGTAAGATAGTTTTCAACTGACTGTCCAGAATCAACTTTTTGCCATTTAGATTGTTCTGTAGAGACTAGAACAAATGAAAATTTGATGGAGCCAAGTCAGAAGAATATGGTGGGTGCTGGAGGATTTCTCATTTTAACTAAGCTTCGGCAAGGTCTGTTTTACAACATGCAGTCTTGCATTGTAATGACACCTTTGCAATTTGCCAAAATTGACCATTTTTTTTCTTGAACCCAAGTGTATTCAAATACACAAAAGGCACTTGAGATATCAATTTCCAAACTCTTAGCAATCTCTTCCATCAAAATCTTCAGTTTATTTTCCACAGTAACAAGCTGAGCATCCTAGAGTGTGGTTGATTGTTTAGGTTAAAGTCACCTTGATAAAATCTGCCAAACTACTTTTTGATTGTCTGAAGAGCTGGAGCACAATCCAAATACCTCCTGTATTTTTGACACTTACTCCTTTCTGAAATTCATAGAGCATAATATGGCAAAAGTGTACTTTTCATACTCTATCTTTAAAGCATTCATTTGTGGACAAAAATGACAACATTCAAAGACTTACAGCTGAACGATGAAAGGTTTCAGTCTGAAACACACTAGAAATTGGCAAAAAACCAACACCAATGTCAAGATGCAGTCAATGAAAATCAGGCACATACTTTTACAATGACCTGATATAAAGCGCCTCAAAATATTTTGCCATGTTATTTCAAGGTATAAAAGGTGCTAAGTGTAAAGATATATTTTAAAATTTTCTGATTTTGTACATTGGATATATATATATATATATATATATATATATATATAGATATCTTTCTTTCAAATGACAGATTATTACAATAAAATTATCATGTTACAATTTTTGAGGGTTAACAAAAGTGCAGAGGTACCTACTAGAGAGAGGGGAAAAAACAACAACACTATACTGTAAATATTTTGTCTTTTTATATAAGACAAGTATTATTTAGCAAATACAATTAAAAAGCTGCCCAGAAGATGATTTTTTTTTTTCAGAGGACCTTTTTTTATTAAAACCCATTTATTTAAATCTCCATATCTTTAAAAATTGGTTTTGTATAATTTTTAAAAGTAAACCTCTTCATAAATATCTCCTATTGTACTGTACAAAAGTCATTTTTCATCATTTATCTTTAAGGTTACAATGTTTATAAAAATCAAATCAGATTTGTTTCATACACATCCCACTAACCTTTGGGTGTTCAATCCCCCCCACACACACACACTGAGCATACCTAGGTTATAGTTATAATGAATGAAAGTAAAAACTTACTACACTGGTTGTACCATCTCCAACTTCTTTATCTTGTAACTCTGCCAACTCTACAAGGATTTTGGCAGCTGGATGTTCTACTTCCAACAGCTTCAGGATAGTTGCACCATCATTAGTGATTGTAATGTCCTTTACAATAGGAAAAAAACAAGTAGCTATCATTATCCACAAATTAGATACTTAGTTGAAAATTAGAGAAATTGAATAACAAATATAGATTTAAACATTAAATACAGACAGAAATATAGACTTCTAGGTTTTATTTCCATAAATTTAAAAATGTGTAAGAATTTAGTAATCACTACATTTTATGAATTTTAGAATTCATTGATGTTAGATAAAGTGTAATTTGAGCAAATAAGAAAATAACTTACTCCAATATCATCCACTAACATCTTATCAAGACCAACAGGACCTAGACTGCTCTTTACAATGTTGGCAATGGCACATGCAGCCATCACTGGAAAAAAAACAAAAAAACAAAACACACACAATTGGTTATAACAAATAAATGTCAAAAAAAAAAAAAAAAAAAAAAAAAAAAAAGTTTCTCCTGATATATATAAAATATAGATATATAGAAAAAAAAAATTATAGTAATTTCAATTAAGTATTATAGTCAAAACACTTTTTCAAATTATTTACATTCAGACTATTGTCCCAATCTTTGTTATTATGATAATGTTTTGGTCATCGTAGTGTCCAGCCTTCATCAGGTGCTTGTCGATCTGGGTAAGCTTCAGAGAATTTCAAACTCCGACCTCTATTTAATGATTAAATCTAATTTTAATCTATAAGAGAGATTGTTCTCATTCCACGGACCCTGTCCAGAAATATCTCATTTAGTTCTTAGTACTACTCTGTTATTTAGGCACATCCACTTTTTCCGGGAAAATGGCATAGCGTAATGAAAAATGCCACAAACTTAGTTTTATCGTCAAAATGCTTATGTTATTATTAAGATGAAAGACCAAGGTGTTTTTAAATATTTTTGAAATTTTTATTATTTTTAACACGTTCGAAATTTTGGTTAAAATCTTCTTTTTGTTTACGTCATCGCGGGTGCTGTTAAAATAACATTGTTTTTTTTTTTTTTTTCCGTTGAAAACACATTGATTTGGAAATTCTTGTAAAAAATCAAGTAATTGTCCGATTTTAATGAAATTTTCAGGACTTATTCACAAATGAAATTATTTTTGAAATATTTCTTTTCTAGAAAATTTTGGTAAAAAATATTTTTAAATATGTTACACCCCACTTACTTATTTTCCTGAAATTTCGTTCAAAACCTTTTTATTTCCTGACAATTTTTTTTTTGTTAAAGTAAAAGTCATTAGAGATGGTAAATCACCTACTCTTTTTTTTTTAAATTTGCGCTAATTAACTAAAATTCTGCTCTGAATTGAAAAATAATGAATCCAATAAATCTATGATATTACTTAATTAGAAAAGCTTTTAATTGCTTTTATAAATAAGTAATATTAAGGTCATTATTGCCTGAAGAAATAAATTTTTTCTGATGAATAATTAAATTTTACAAGAATTTTTTCATTGGTTTTACATTTTAATTATAATAATTTAAAACAGTTTAAAAATCTTGCAAAATTCTGTATTAGCCTATTTCCTTGTGATAATTAGTAATTAAGTAGAAACAAAATTTACAAGTTCAAAATTGCAAAGTTTAATAAACTTAGTGGTGCTAATTTTTTTTTTTTATAATTTTTTTTCCATGTTGTATTTTTTTAATTAATACGTTCCGTATTTTCATGTACAGTAGACTGAAATTGCCATTATTAGAAAAAGAGTTTTGCCCTTTCGCTAAAAAAAAAAAAAAAAAGCGTTTACTCAGATTTCTAATAATTTTCATTTATGGTCATCCGTAGTAGCTGTCATCACTCGTCAATCAACACGTAGATCAAGTATTGGATAAAAATCACAGTACCAATCGTTAATAATTGGTTGTATATTACTTTTTATGCTAGAAGTAAGTAATATTTCTTTTAAATCAGATTAATTTAACATTGAATTTTCTAATTTTACTAAAATAACGTGTCAGAAACTTTTTAAATATTTTAAAATCGATAAATTTGTGTTTGTTTACAAATTTCGTAAAATTAAGAAAATGGCGGAATTATTGAAAATTTGAAATTCCAAAATTAAATTCCAATGTATATAGTTTCTATCTGAAATACACCAGAATTGTTTCCTTAATGGAAATAATAAATTTAATGATTAAACTTTCAATTAAAGCTAAAATGAAATTTTCAAGCATGTTTTTTCATTTTTAAAAATTTATTTTAAAGTTAGGTATCGGAAATTTTGCCGGAAAAAGTGGAGGTACCTACAGTGTTATTGCTTGATCTATTTTCACAGAGTCAAAGTACACACTACCCAACCCAGGAATTGAACTTACAATTACTCTACATCATCTTTAATCCTACAGAACAATAGCCTACAGGATTAAAGTATTGGTTCATGAATCTGATGACAGTAACTGAGTTCAATCTTTGGGATGGGCAATGTATACTTTTTGTTACATGTGGTCATGAAATGAACAGAAGAAAATTTCAAAACTTCCGAAACATTTAATCCCATTAAACATGAGAGAATGGAATGTACATGTGCGAATCTCTCTAAGATTTACACTTAATGAAATAACTTATTTTACATTTTTGGTACTAAATTCTTATTTAAATATGTAAAATTATTTTTATATGTTTAGCTTTAGCAGATTAACTTTCAGCAATTATCTTTCAAATAAAATAAATTTAACTTAAAAGACATTTAAAGTGTGTTTTCAAGTGATTTTTTTTTTTTAGTAAGTACTTGGCATTACCCAAATTACAACATGTGTTAACCAGGATTATCAGTCATGAGCAAAAACCCAAAAGTAATTAAATACAAGAGGGTGCTGAAAACTTATCAAAATCTGAGTGCTGTTATGCTACTGTAAGTGTAATTGGAGTGTTTAATTTGCTCACTGGTTAAACCACGTCAACAGAAAATGAGGAATTTTCAAGTGTTGGACTGTCAAGAACTAATTTCTGTGATTTTTAGAATCATGTAATTAGCAAAAGATAATCAATTTAAAAAAAAGAAAAAAAAAAAAAAAAAGAAACTTTAAGACACGGTTCTTTTCTTATGTGTGACTATGAAAAAGTGGTGCCCTAATGTGTGGATTTTATGACAGAAGAAAAGAAAAAAAGCATCATTTGGGAAGTATCAATTCCTGAAACTGGGATAAAAAACAAATATGCCAATAATGTTAAAACTGTGAGATGTGGAATGACATGTACATTTCGGTTCGAGAACATCTCGCATCATTAAAAAAATGCACTCCTGAGTAAAATAAAATTTATACTTGAAATACATTTTCTCAAAGAAAATCAAACTAAATTTGAACCGAAATCTTTTTGACTGGGCATCGTCAATTTTCATGTCCGAAACAAAAATCGCATACCAAACACTGAATTTATTACTTTCGTCCTTAAAATGTCTTTACTAGTCTTTCGATTTAAATTTTAAATGTCATAAATACATCAGAAGAAAAAACGAAAAATAAACCTCCAAAATACAATGTTTCAGTCTATAACAAGTACTGAACTTAATCTTCAGGTTAAGAAAAAAAAAAATACGAATATATTTTTAAATAATGAGATCTTAAAGAAGCGCAGTACAGCAGTTGAAATATATTGCATTTCGAAAGTTATTTTTCATTAAAGACCTTTCAAATCCGAAGGAAGAATAATAAACAAGTCATTTTTTGTAATATATGACAAAAAGAAAAAAAAACGACTAAAAACGAAAACCAATGGCTAAAAAAAAAAAAAAAACGTTCAGATTTATATTTATTAACGAAAATTATTTTTTCACAAAAAGAAAAACTACATCTTGCTTAGATTTTTTGTGAAGAATAATCTTTTATTTCATTTAAAAAAAAAAAAAAATCTAGATTTTCATCAAGCAAAAAAATTAGTTACAATTTTCGAATTTCACTTATTTAATCAAGTGTACCATATGAATTATTTGAAACATCTTTTAATTAATCACCATTAAATGTTAGATGCCTGGTATGAAACATTAAAGTAATCTCCAAAATTCATTCTAGAAATTTCCCGTTCAGCACGTGAGACAGTAGAGAGAGAGACCCATGTGAGACCGGCAGCACATTTCATACAACTTGATAACTAATGGTAATAAATGCAACAAAATCTTCAAGAAGCTTTGCATATAAACAAGAAATAATATTATAATGGTTAACATCTTACCATTTTGATTGCGAACAGTTTGTCCAGAGGTTCTATCACCGCCAACAGTTAATGGAGCTGCTGTATCAGCCATGATGACAAATCTATTCCTGTTCTTACAGCAAAAGAAAAAAAACTACAGTGAAATAGTGGATCGGCAACCCACTCTGGTGGAACGAAATTATTTAAAGATATATTTGTAACTAAATTTCTTCTTGAATTATGTACTTTTATGATTGAAAACATAAATATACAACAGTACTTTATTTTTAAGTACTAATTTATTTACAGCTGTATTATTAATTAACATATCAAAATATAAAAAAATGAGTTGTAGTTTTAAAAAGTTTTATACAAAACTTAAAATGACAGACTGAAAGTGAAATGAATCCCTTTTTTACTCAGCTTTCTGTTCTAATTTTTCGAATCGTATAATTAACAATTATTAGATACTAATATAAGTTTAATAAACAATGAATGTTAAAATATTATTTGAACACTTGTTCCTTTTTCAGACTCTAATCTTTATAAGACACTACTAGTGCCCTTCATTGTGTAGTAGTTATTGAATACTTTTTGGGGATGAACTTGAAAATGATAAACGAGTACAAGTTTTCAACCTTTTTTTGTACTTCCCAATACTGAAAATACGCAACCCCCAAATTGGAAGTTTGTAGTAGTTGATTAAAAAACATCTGACCATTTATGTAGGAATTTTGATCCTAAACAAAATGGGAACACAAATTCAGAAAACATTTTTATTTCACCAAGATATACAATAACATTATGAAAATATTAGAATATTGTAAAAAATCAATGTATTTTTTAAAATTGATACCAATGAAAATTGGAGCTTGGTGGCAAGTATAGATTCTTAATCTTATAGGACCGTGTTCAGTAGCATGTCAAAATAAGCAAATAACAGTTATGATCTTAGCATTTAGACAAAAAAAAACCAATGTTTTTATTAATTTAACTTACTTAACATATAAATAACAAATAACATTATCTTAAAGGAGTTAACCATAGTCGGGATCATCAAGGCAATGCAAATGATCCTTTCCTTAGCTGCAGAGTATGTGATTTGCCAGAGCTATACGGCTTTGAATTCAAAGTTTTCCTTCTCCTAGACTGGTTACCACCCAGTCTGTCCTGCTAATTTTACCCATAGCTGGGTAAAATATTATCTTAGGTTAGTTAATATCTTATCATTTTAAATGTAGTTCAGTTGAATTCCACTTTCACCAAATCAGTAGCAGCTGCTGCTTTTGATTGCTGGACACTATGTGTATTGACTCTAATTTTTTTTTTTAATTTCCCCCAAGCAACACAATAGTGCTAATAAGATGCAAGGAGTTATGGGGGTAGAAGAAAATGAGAACACACTTTTAATGAGGAAAAGGGAAAGTAAAAGAACAAGATTCAGGAAAACAGAAGATGGTGATTGAGTTGCTTTTGAAGATTGTAGTTAGTAAGGAAGCAAGAAACTGGAAGAGAGTTCTACAGGTGAGAAAACAAACTATTAGAATAGAATGGTTACATCTAGCTATTTCAACAGTAAAATGATGATTTACTCTATATTTCATCTGAAAATTTCATATCATTTTATGGTGAAAAGAGATTACTGAAAATTTAATTTTGCATATCTATGAGCATTTTCACATATAGAAAAAATATCAATTAGATAAGTCTTTAGACACACAATAAAAAGGATGCTTACTCAATGTGAAATTGAATCAAAAAGAATTTATTTATAATAATTTATATGAAAAGAATGGTATAAAGACTTACTTAAAATATTCTTGAACACTTAATAAAAATAAGTAGAGAAAAATGTTCATGAGAAAATAGGGACTTACATTAGTTGAAAAATTAAAAAAAAACGTTGTTAATAGGAGACAATGAAGTTCACCAGGTATTGTTAATGCTCTTACCTATCAGAGTTGATATGTCAATGCAGTAACAAAACAATCTGTTGTTGAATGATGAGTCCCAAATAAAAGTTGTTGTGGTAAACTTGTTGAAGCTGATACAGCTTTGTAAAATCATGATGACAAGTGAGTTGTCATTTATTATTGAGGAAAACTTGGTGAGTTTGTTTCATATGTCCAAAATTATCTGCTTTGTATGTTGCCCAGAGTTGTTAGTTAGCCAAATGGTATCTCGGAAGTCCTCTTCTCTTCATTGCTGAAATTGGTCTGCTACTCAATCTTTCCTGACTATCCACTCTGATGTGGGGTGAATGAAGAGCAATTTAACTGGCCAACAATTTTGCTTATATTTGCATCAACAGGTTCATGAATCTATTGTTTCAAATTATCACAGGTTTTAAATTCTATCCTTCTGATTGGTGGAAAATAATCCAGAAGATGAGTTTTTCAATTCTTTTTTCTTGAGCATTCATTTTTTATTACTCTGAGTAATCTCCATAATCAGGCTCAGAAACAATGATTATCAAAAAAAAAAAACTTACTTATAAACACTTCATTGGTTAATAATGTTTTTGCTCATAGGTAAGAGGCAGAGTACTGTATTTTTTCAGATAAATTATTTTATATCATAGGTACAGAGTTTCAAGGGTGAATGTCTGCTTACAAGATTAACTGCTACATTGAACCAATTTCCCATTTCTTCTGCTGAGCACATGTTTTTTTACTTCTTTTTATTAGGCCTGACACATCAGTGTTTTCTGTTTGAATTTTTGCAGGACGTGTTCTCATTGGTTGATTTTTTTTGTAACATTCACTAACCCACATAAGCTATGTCTGGCTTCTGTCAGTTGCCGAGGATAGGAACAATAGAAGGAAGGAAGTATGTGTAATAGAGAAGAGAGAGAGAGAGAGTTTTCTTTGTCACTCTCTTAGTAAAAAGGAAAGTATATTTCCATATGTTGTTACTACTACCTAATCCTACTACATGTACCTGACTTCTTAAGAATATATGTCACTAGTTATATGGCTGATAAGGAAACTCACATTTCTTTGTCAAGCATCAAAATATATTCTTTCTTTCCCTGCTTGTTAGAATTTCTCTGTTGTTAGAATTTCAAATATATCAGATACATAAACCAATTTTGAAAGCTAAAATTCATAATGTCACATTGCATAGAATTATTATGTTATTGTCATGAACAAACATTTCATCTTTGACTTCATACATACATCATAATACATGACTTCTCAACAGCCAATGAACTTCAAATAAAAAAATGAGCATTTTACATTTAGAACTCGTTTCATCATATAATTTTAACATGATTTAAGAAGGCTACTTTTGGTAACATTTACCATATTTATAATACCACTCATAGTATTTTGCAACTCAAAGAAAGCAAAAAAAGAGAAAGAAAGGAAAGAGGCAAAATTCAAGAGGAGGAGGATAATTTTATTGGAAGATTTAAAATATCTTATCCTTCATTTTGCAAGTACGTTTAAAGGCACTAACGAAAAAGACAAGACTCTTACCTAAAGTGAAATTTGCAAAGAAACAAACATTTCTACATACAACAAAATATATTTTACAACATACAAATTGCACAAATTACAATATAGGTATTGCACAAAATTTTCCTTGTGCACCTCAAGCTATCAATGTAGGTTAACAGTTCTTTCAAAATGTAAGTCTGTTTTATCTCAGAAAACAGTTCACATAAAACAAATGTTCTCCTTAATAACAAAGGAATCTTAACAACTTTCTCGTAAAGCAACAGATCGTATTTCTTAGCAACAAAAGGAATTTATCAATTCAAAATATTCACAGTTTGAAATGTCAAAGACTGAAGGTGATGAGAAAAGGTAGACCTACTTCAGGTAATGTTGGTTTTCTAGAAACTTTACACAAAATGGGCTTTCATAAATTTGAGATAAATTCCCATAGGTTTAGAAAAGACATTCAAATAAAATAAACTCATAAGTTTAGAAAAGACATTTGAATGAGATAAACTCTTACAGGTTTAGAAAATATGTTCTTCATAAAGAGAATTCTCATAGGTTTTAAGGGTTTTTCTTTCTTTTGTCTTCTTCAGGACTGCAGCAACTGTAGTAGTAATAGTAGTAGTAGTTTTTCTCATCTCAGATAATAGTTGTTTTTGTCCAAGTGGTTGAATCCTTTCTGGTCTCAGATCACTGCTTTCTTATAGAAAATAAACCTTATTTCCAACACAATTACATACCCACATATATACCATATTAAAACATGCCCAAACTTTATTTTCAACCCAATAACAGACAATATTACAAATATGCCAAAAGATTCCAAAACACAATGTACACTATTTAAATCAAAGTATCTATTGGTTAGAAATTAACATCACTATACAAAATATTTGACCAATCAGAGAAAACAAAAACCCTTTATTTCTTAAGCCTATTTTTTAGAAAATTTTTTTATAAATATCCACAGATTTGGACTTTCAGTGAGCAGAGATGCAACTGTCTTCAAACACAAGAGTAGACGTGGCTACACAATTTTGTCCTTTTCCTCAGTACATATTGAAATAAGCATGTGTTTGTGACTTCGAGCAAATCATCTCCCACAACAGCAGAGATAGTCAGTGAATCTTTGCTGATGATAAAAGACTTTTCTCAATCACAGCTTCTTTACTGTGAAACCAACTATTTAAAAGTATTTTCTCAATCACAGTTTTTTTTTTCTGTGGACAAACTATTTAAATGCTATTTTTAAACTATAGCTTTTTCTGTGTACCAACTTCCCAAAGACTTTAACTCAGCTAAAGACGATTTTTACTCCTTTTTGAATTAATGTACCTATATTTGTAAATACAAATAATTTATTTAAAAGGCATACACATGTTTTCTTTCTTTTTATTTTATCATTGTTTGGAAGTTAGATGTTTGGTTATTTAATATAAAACACCTGAACAACTAAATCACTTACAAATGGTGAACACAACAATGAAAACCAGCCTCCAGATACCTTTACACACACAGCCTTTAACTGCCGTCTTCTGAAATATTGACATCACCAAAACATTAATTGAACACAGAATTAAACAGTGATCCCACAGAAACTGCATTGACTTTAAATCTGCCTGCATACAACACTAAGAATGTACAAACTGGGTTCTCCCAACTA